AAAGACAAAGTTTACAAAATTAGGAACCATCTTTGACAAGAGTTTAAAATCGTCGATGATTCATTTAAAGCACCCCAAAAGATCAAAATATCTGTTTCAAACTAGCAGACCCTGGATTTCGTTCAGATCGATCGGAAATATCAATTTTGGAGACAATCGTCTAAAATGTTTAGGCTGAGAACGATTACATACTACAATGGATTTAATGCCTTGCAAAAACCTTTTTTCCTTTGATTCTTCACCCCTATGACACCCACTATGTTCAGCATTGCCAAAATGGCAGAAACTTAACTTTAATTATGACGAACTCGTCGTACGTGCATTAGTTTCCATGGGCGAAAGTTGGAGACTAGTTTGTTTGTTGTTGGTTGTTGTTTTTTTGTTGTTGTTTTTGAAAGGAGAATTCATTCAATTCGAGAAAAATGAAAAGTAATGTTAAATAAGAAATTGTAAGTTATTATTCCAATAATTATTGTTATTTTACTTTTCACCATGTGTTCACTCTTGCATGTTTGAACAAAAACATGTGAATGTTCCCCGTAGGCACTTAGCAGATTTATTCTTATCAGTGATGTTTGACTGTTCAAAGAATTGACTGCCCCAGTCAGGAATCGAACTCTGATCTTCTGGGACACGCCTGGTTGTCAGAAGAGTTCACTGTCTTGTTAGCTCTAGTAATGAAGCAACTGAGCATATACCAGAAGATACAAGTTCGATTCCCAGATGGGACAGTGAAGCATCATTTATAATAATACATATTATAAAAATAATGTTAATAATTGTAATTAGTATGTTCAACAAGAATGCATGTCCTCGATGAAAAATTCCAAGAGGAACAACTCATTTAATAGTGGCGGTCATTTCCACACTCCTGACATCGAAAGAGTTATCTTCCGTGACGTGCTGAGCTATCCCCTGAGCGAAAAAATTATTTTAGACAAGTTCTCTCTAACCAGAAGTTGAGATGATAATTCCAGGAAGTTGTTATTGCAGTAGCTTTTCCTCTGCTCCCACAGAGTGATGTTAGAAGTGGGGCTTCCGAAGTAATGCGGGAATATTTCTCAGTTTTAGTGTCAAAATAGACAGGGTATCTCTTTCTTATACTTATGTGTTTTATAATTTAATTTCTGTACATTTCTAGATACACTTAATTGAGTGACATAAGTTGTAATGCAGCATATTAAAATATATTTTAAGATTTTAATAAATGTGGAAATTCAGTGAAGTTCAAAATTTAGAGGGTCAACTGACCTTCTGAGTTATGCCATGTTAGTTGTAGTTAAAGGGCCAAATTTGCTGAGTGTGCATCCCTCATAAATTCCACCAAATTTTACACCTATACCTTAATTTTTGTTGGTCTTTGCTTGCCTTGGGTCTGTAATGCTATTTGGTAGAATTTTGTGTAATAAAATAATATAAACTTTTTAAACATGTTTCAGTGGAAATGCTTGCATCTGGAATGTTCATTTTGTACAAACTTCATTGATGAGTAACAATTATGTTTCATGCATTCAATGAATGTGCTTAAAGTCCATTTGTATTGTACAATACCAAAAAAAAATAATTTTCATAACAAGTGTTCTAAATAGTTTCTGAGACAATGGCCCTGTCTCTGTCATGTTTTCAATGTAGTTTTCTTTCATTTATTGAGCAAAGGCTGAAATTGTCCTTTGTTCTGCTTGTGGACAGGAAATGTAAATTTATTATGTGCGCTTGCTTTCTTCAGCTCTCATTTTCCTGCGGTGCTAAGGTAGAGAAGTGGTAGTTAGTTATTTCTTCAGCTGTACCATCAAATCTAATCCGTAGCTCATTTACCAATGCAAATGTTTTGTATTAAATGGGAGGGAGGTTTTCTGGTTATGAAATGTTACCAACAACGCTTGTTGCTAACTTTATTCATAATTCTACAATTTATAATGAAAGACGATAGAGATTCTGGAACTGAAGAAAACCTGTACAGATTGTACTTCTACCATACGTCTCATACTGTTATCACTTTTTGATAATAAATTTTAAAAAATTAAGTCGCCCATAAAATCCTATGTTGTTATTAAATGCTATAGGGTCAGGCACAGTTCACATGAATTCAATGTAAAATTAATTTTGTAATCAAAATTATTGATTTTAAAAAATAATTATATTAAAATAAAAATTGTATAAATACAATTTGAAAATTTAATTGGAATAACAATTTATTAAAAGATGAGAAATTAATTATTGAAATATGTTAGTATGATAGCTGAGTCATAGTTACATGTAGTATAACACAGGCAAGAATTCAACAAAAAAGTTTGACACTAAAATGGTACAAAGAGTTACTGGACAGTAATATATCAAAAGGACAAATAAATTAAAAAATATTGTAATTATTGTAAAATTATCTGTGTCAAGGGAAGAGTAGGTAGTGTTTTAATAATAAAAGAAATGACTTTCAAAATTTTAAGTCCTATTAAGTCAACTAACCCCTTGTTAATGTTATTGTTGCTGTCTTACGTTTCGAAAACATTGAAAACAAAATTGTTTTTGTCTTTCCCGTGCTTATTCATGGTGTTAACGATGTACTGAAAAAAATGTGTTGAAGCCAAAGTTACACAATATTCATTGAGTATATAATATTCATTGAATATATAAAAAATATGATATCTTCAAAGTGTGTAACGTTGGTATTTGTATCTTCAAGATACATTATTTTAAATCCAAAAAATTAGGTTGTACATAAAGATAAATATTTTAATTGAATGAAATTATGAGAAGGTCCCAACATTTTGTTCAGTAGTTACGGCAATGTTTCTTTCTTGTTGCCAAGAATGAAAAATGTACAATCACATGGAAACAGAGACCATGAGCTATAGAATTTTTTAACAGTATATGCTTCCTACTTTCATTCACAGTATTAATTATATTTAATCACTTAATTAATGTTTTTGAAAGATTACAATTTATTCCTTTATTTTCTTCTTCTTTCATTCTATATAATTGTGTATTAAACTACAGGTATTCAAACAGAGACCCGTTATCAATTATCTTGAGCTTGAGAATTCAGAGACAAAGGAGGCAAAATAGGAATATAAAAAGTGCCTCCAAACTTCCGGAACTAACACCTCTGAAGAAAAGTTTGGGGACAGGGTAAACACAAGATTTCCATATTTTTAAATGGAAATTACACAAAATTTTACAAATCTGTGAATACAACTTTCTTAATTCCCAATATACTTGTGTTTGAAGGTTGATTGATATGAATATAATTTTAAAATAGCGAAATGCATTATTAATTCGCATGTGGCCTCAAAATAACTATTTTATTCTTTTATATTGGTGTGATACTAAAAAAATAAAAAAGGTAGAAATCGTTTAAATATTGATTGATGTTTCCGGACACGACAACTGCTATGGCCACTAGCCTTGACAGCGTTGTGAATGTTTACCCCGATGGTGGCGATGTTCCTCCCCCACTGGATCCAAGTATCTCCCCCAGTGGGGCATCGCCTTAGCCGAGATAATTTTTGAGCTCCTGATAAGAGGGGAAGTGAATTGCTTGTGTGTAAGGGAAGAGGATAGGACAAGAAAGATCGCGTGCGGTCCGTTGCCCGTTCGTTAGGGTTTGTAGGGTTAGGGTGCTCCGGTACTCGCTTGGTATTGATAGGAGAAACCACCGAAAACTTCTGTTCAGAGCAGACGACCGCTAGAATTCTTCTCCAGACGGCGACTGAATTGGACCTATCTGTCATTGTTGGGACTCGAACCTCAGAACCTCGCAGTCATAGTCGCTGCACAGACAGAGATAATGCTGGCTCTCAGCTAAAATCAGTCTGTCATGAATATTCGTTTTTAAATACGTTATCCTACTCCTCCCAACAAATCTTTGAAACAAATATGTGCGTAGAATGCATGAATTTTTTTTATTTTTTTCTGATGCAGCAACATTGAAATTGACTTAAATACAAAATATTTTGGGATTTTCAATTTTAATGTTGTTTAAACTTGTTAATTTACTGTCCAAAATTTAATAATATATCTTATTAGAGTATTTTCATTCATTTCAGACACAAACTTTTTGCAATATGCCGAAAAGAAAATTTAAAAAATGTCTGATAAAATTGGAAGAAGAGAGGAGATAAGCTGCAAATGTGGAAATCTTGGTTCGTCTTTGCCTCAAACATATACATATTTCAAACGGAGTTAGTTTCCAGTCAGTTTTACCTTATAATGCTCAACTCATTCCAATCGGGTCAAGACATGCTTGTTACAGTTCTTGCCTGCTGTACTGGAAGGAAATGCTTCCACCTCCAATAATAGAGAAAACTTTCAGGTTACAGCTCGTAACCTGGGCAAGCATAGTTTGAATGACCCTCCCTTATAAGTCGTGTTTTGACCTTCAGACCCGGATCATGCGTAAAATCATTCGTGACAGCTGGCAGTGCCATTGAAACTGCCGTTAAATTCACTGAAGCTTAGCACTCTAAATCCGGGCCGCCGATTCGAGTTTGCTGCATAAAGAGAACGGCTATTTTTCACTTTAATTGATGCCACACTTTTGGTTTCCAGACTTTACCAAGTCCACCATGTATTTAACTTATAATCTCAAGAGCAAGAACGAATATTGATACGATACAAAACAATCGTTACAAGGAAATAGTCATACCGCTGCCCTGTACTGGTCACGAACCACATGCATGATTTTACGTTCAGCACGCGGGTTTGTTTCAACCAAGTGACAGGCATTAGAGAATGATCTGTCCGGAAAATTGGTGTGCCATTGTTTGATACTAGTGGCGGCGTCCCGTGATGAGTACTCTCAGATATTGAAGGCAAAGAGAAGTCACCACTGATAATTTTGAAATATGTAGAGCATATGTAAGGCATATCCAATGATGTTTCCTTCTCACGTTTTCTTTTACATTGTCCTAATAGGATATAGAAATAATTAAATAATATTGATACAGTGAACAAGAAAACGAGTATTTATAAAACAGGTGACTAGCTATAGAAGTGTTTTACATTGTCCCTTGACTATTTGGTTGTTAAAGCTGGTGCAATAGTTTTTCTACTTGGATTTTCTCAAGGTCCCTTTTCCTTTGTCCAGTAGAGCTGATGCTGAACTTTCAGTTCCTGAAATATATCTACTTCAATGATATTTTACAATTCCCTTAACGTCTCTCAGATTTCCATTCGGGCAAAAAATTGCTAATTTCCCTCTACCCCGTGTTATATCCCTATATTCGTAGAACTTAATTAACAAATCTCTTTCAAACACTTTTCCTTGAATATTTCTATCCGCTATGGCCTTGTGCTTGGGGGTAAGGCAACTTCTGCGCCTGCGCCCGGGTACGATGCGGCAGACATCAAGAACGGATGGGGCGTGGGGACAGAGCCGTGGGGCGGTGGAGGCGGCGGCAGTCCCAGAAGCGTGGGCGGCGGTGGTGCTGGAGGTGGCATCATTGGGCCCAGGGCGGGAGCGCCCAGCGGCATGCCTGTGGGATGCAGTGCTCCAGCGGGATAATGGAAGAACCTGTAAATGAAAGATATTGCATATCGTCGTGAAAGTTACACAACCTCCTATGTGAGAAAAAAAATTGCAGGAGGAAGAAAAACACTTTTTGATATTAATATTGTATAGTTGGCTAAGTTTAGGCATTCTACAATTTCTAAATAATAGTATTTAATATTTATTTATTATAATATTTTTTCTGAAAGCACCTTACTAAAACCTCCCATGTTGTTTTTACCGCATACGAAATATAATATCATCGATAAACTGTAAAGGTCATATGATTTTTTTTTAATTTTCTATTTTTATACAATTTCTAGTTTTCTTTGGACATTTTCTTATCAAACTAAAGAACAAGCAGATTCTGAATCATTAATGCTAAAATCCTAAAATTGCCAATTTCTTCACATAGGAGGTTGTCCATCATCATGACAGTATTCAACGCTTCAAACGAAATAATCATGAATACAAGGACACAATTAAAAATTCAGAAGCGTCCGCCATGCGGAAGGAGAGTCCAAACATTAGAGGTTAATAAAATTCATGTGTCTCTAACAATCTTAAGGGGTTTGTTGTAGCTCTAATTGTGACGAAAAGTTTCAAACTTAACTTTATTTCTTCTTTCTTGAATAGCATTATATCATTTGTTTTCAAACAATTGCAGTAGTGGTTTGAAGCAGAAGGGTCCCAACGCTGTTTTAGCATGGGAAAAGTTTACAATAAACATATTAATTTTACATTGATACGATTGATAATCTAAACATATGAAAAGATACCCAAGTCTAGTTGATATATTTGGCGGAAAGGTCGGCATTAATTCTTAGATTATATAGTATTTATTAACCTGAAACGTTATTTATAAAGCAAAGACTTCCCCATACCGTCCTCTTTATCCTGTGCGGCACTATGCCACGTTTCTTCACGAATTCTGTTTAGAGATCTGCCACCTAGCGGCGGTCATATAAAACTGAGCTCGGTTTACGTGACAAGCAGTGAAGGGATGAGGGAAGAAAGTGAATCCTTTTAACTACCAGTCAATACATCGAGTACTTATTTTCAGGGGCATCGAGATAAAGTAAGGAAATTACCGAGGGTCCTGAATGGAATAGCATCTCCGATCATGCTACATAGTGCTTGCTATTACCGTCGTCGATAGCGACGAAAGTAAAGGCGGCATATTACGGTTTGACCGTACCAGTGATTGAGAGGTCGCGGGTTCGACCAGAGAAAGTCGCCAGAAATGGACGCAATGTGTTTAAAATTAGTGGATGTACCTGTCGGACCGAATTAGTGCTCCAACGTCTCTGATCAGAGGTTTCCGTGTACAACTTCTCTCTAATCACTTCTAAGCAAATGCTGAAGCAGTATCCTACACAACGGATCGCCTGCGATCTCTCCCCATCATCATCATCATCATCATCATCATCCACTCCCCAATGTGGACTGGAGAAGCGTCCTAACCCGTCCCCTCATAACCGGCATGTACCGGCGGGGAAGAGGCATTGTTTAGAGCTAGTCCCGGCTGGGGCGGTACCTTGCTTGTAGGAGATACGTGGTTGGGGAAAACCCAAAAGTTGTAGATTAACACCGGATCCCGCCATCCTGCGAAGGAAGATCACCGCAATCTTCCGCGATAAAAAATGTACTACAATTACAGGACTAATTACTTAGCAGTTGACGTGCCTGGAAACACCAATCAATTAACAGGCTTTGCTTTCCCTGCAACTCAGCAGGTCTAGCGTCAGGACATAGATGTAGTCTATGGTGTTCCAACTGAGCCTAAGGGGGCGCGAAAGCTCCATTAGCCTGCATGCAAGCGTGGTGTGAGCTGATTGGAGGAGGCTGCATGACTTATTACATCTGGTGGGATAAATGTACAAGAACGAAACCTATTTCCCTTTCTCCACTTTGTTAATAAAAGTGTAGCACTTGAGCAACTGCAGATCACGGAGTGATCCAGGAGACCTGCGTGCGAAAGTATCGCTGGGCAGTTTTTATTCTCTGTAAAGCTTGATGATATTTGTGATGTCGGGTAATTTAACGACCGCGAGACTTAAATTGGCCGCGCATGCCTCTGAGGCTTATGATGAGAGCGGCAGGGAAGTGCCGAAAGTGATGTAATGAGTTCGAGAGGGAAAGGTCGACAGAGGAGAAGAGGTCATGCCCCCAATCTCAAGCTCTATATAACCCAACATTTAGTGTCCGGGTAACCGGCGTACTTCGTAGCCGAAAATGTTGCGTGTATACTACATTCATATTACATGTATTATTTGGTTCCTCACAACAATTGATATCACAAAACCCCTAGTAACTATAAAATAAACATTTTCACATCTTTATCAACTATCTATTATCAACTGATTTTTTTTTTCTTTTCAGGGATCCCTAAACAGGCAGCATGTTCTCGTACGAAATGATAGAGATGCGGTGGCTTATTTCAAAGGTTTATTGCAACATGGGAGTCAGTTAGACAAAAAGTGACCGATTTTCCCGAGTGTGCGAGTCTCGGGCTAATCTAGCAGCCGCCCAGCTACATTGGTATTTAAAAAATGGCAGTGGCGAGTGCTGTGCAGCGCAACGCAGCACACTGGTTGGTGGACAGTAATTGGAATGATCAATTGCTTCTCTATTTGCATATACCAAGAGAAACACGACTTCGACGTAATAAAGAAGTGGTCAAGAATACCAGCGCCAATTGATAAGAGCTCCGAGTTGTTGGAACAAACCGGTCAAAGTATGGGTTGAAAACAAATGTGCTCTCAGTCGTTCGAAGATGTAATACGGATTTTTTTTTTTTTTTTCAATCGATTCCCCTCATTCCTGGAATATGATACACTTCATTAACCACTTTCATCTCGTCGGAAACCTGTTTGGCACTACCATGGTACGGGGTCTTTTACTACAATCGCCCTCTGCGGAGTCCACATGTCTTCTATTGATACCCACTTTTAATTTGAATTAAGGTTTCACGTTTAGCTTAGCAAAAGTACTAGACTGTACATGACTGTACTAGACCCCTTCCGGAGTGGTTGTGATCTTGTGCCGTACAGGAACCTCTTACTGCGTGGATGTTTTCAAATGTTTTCAATTCAGTTTTGTATGATTTTCGATACATCGTGGCCGAACTTGCCGCTCTACAGGTCCTTCATTCTGAGGTAAAATTGCGTAAGTTGTACATTACAGTTGATTATAATTAGATTAAATTACAAGAGCATGATTATGGTACGCACAATGCGGTGAATCTTGAACATACGAATGTTGCGTTCGACACACGCTGAAGCCAAGAAGGTACAAACACGCTAAGCTCGTGCATCGGCCCCCCTCGGGACAGGGGCCTCCGTAACATTAAAAAAAAGTGTTTGTTAGTTGGAAGATATGTACAAATGTTTCAATAAATTTTGAAATTGTAAAGGTTGTTTATTTTCATATTAATTTTGATTTCGTGTTTAATATTTCAGTGTTGTTAGATGGCCCCATACGTTGGTCTCGCTTAGATAGGGCTGCCAGCTACCGTCCACACAAAATGATATTTTTTTAAATGTGTCATTAGAATTGAAATTGCCCAATATCTATAATACTATTATATTAATTAGTTCATTCGACAGCCGCAGTATTTTTAGTAGGTTGACAAGAGCGTCTAGAATTAACTTCGATTCCGATAGCAAATAGAGTGCAGTTAGAGTATACGGGTGTTTGGGATAAAATGCTACAAACTTCTTGAGCATGTAGATGATCCATTTTTGTCAATAAACATGTGGTTCGAAATTTCATATAACGAAGTTATTCAAGCGTCTTTTTTTACATGACGTCGCAGATTGGTTTGCTATTCATAGTGCATTGGAGTTTGGCAAATATACATACTTAGGATACGGCCTTTGAAAGAGTTTACATATCTGCCAAACACGAGTGCAGAATGTCTACCAATCAGAGGCGATCTGTTAAAAATACACTTGTGTAACTTTGTTGTATGAGATCTTCAGCTACATGTTTGTGTACAAAATTTGATCTTCGATCCCTCCGTATATGCCATAGAAGAAATTTCTTCTGAACCATTCTGCAGTAAGGCTGTATTAGTTTTTTAATACGTAGCACAGACGTTTCTAGTAACATTTAATATTGAAAACTTCTAAAGATTTAGAGACTAATGGTAGCCGGGACCTTAATTAAAAAATGTTAATAAAGTGTATCCTTCGAATGGATTGTGTTTAATAGAAGACAGGAGGCCAATTCCTAAAACTGGATGGCGGTTGGCAACCCTATCCTTCGGACCGCGGTCCTACATAGGTCAGATGGGCCACTCTGCTCACCAGAGGCGGTCGCCCACGAAGATAGGGCGAGCGGCAGCGGCGCCCACGGCTGCGCAGTAGCGCTGGGCCGCGAGCTCCAGCTCCCCCGTGTAGCGCCGCTTCCACTTCGTACGGCGATTCTGGAACCAAATCTTGATCTGCAACACATAGCATTGCCCGCCCGTTGCTGAAAGATAATGGATACATTGGCTATAATACATACAAAAAACAAAAGTAGATACTAAGTTACTGTGCATGAAAAAGAAAAGAAAGCATCAAAAATAAAATGATGATAATTTCCGCTAGACTCTGTCAAGCCGTCCCTTGTCAATGTGGGTTTCATGACTGAATGTATCAGAAATGATTTTCATGTTCATCACAAGTACAATGAAAAACATTTATACTAGACGGCCATGCTGCCACTGTGCCGAGGTGGGTTTCATGACAGTGTAGCAGAAATTATTTTCATTTTATTTATGGTGCTTTCTTTTCATGTACAATAACTACCTTTGCGTGTGTATGTTTGTATGTATTCTAACCAATACAGTAACTTACCTACGTAGTAATAGTGTAATTATGTATTCCATGTAGCTCCAAGGAAGGAACAATAAAGTTCCGAAATGTTGGGAAACTAGGATTTTAATTAAGTGATCAATACCCATTTACTATTCCAAGAATTTTTTTGCTATTTTATCTTTTTATCAAATTATTAATCTATATGTTACTCCATATTTTAATGATTCTTAGTCCATATGTACTATGTACATATTTAGATGCATGTCATTTCATGGAAATCCTAATCCTGATACTGACCTACTGTTTGAAATGCCCGTATACCCCAAAAACCTCTTCTTTTCAAAGTAATGTAATTTTTTTTCTTAAGTTCAATGGATTATTTTTAACACGCAGTCGAAGAGAAACTCAAAAAATTCGAATAAACAATGAAGTGTACTAGTAACACTTTCAAATATCGTCCTCTGTCACTTTCCAAAGCATGTCAACCTTTACTTATGAAAGTTAAATTAAAACATAGTTCCATATGAGGAGTTGAGGAAATGCGGAAACTGTCCATCGCGTCTCATAGAATGAGGTTTTTGTAATAATTGAAGCGATTTCCTAGTAAAAGGCCTATCGGCGAAATGGTTTTGTGAAAAACGCAATTAAAATTTTGTACAAATTTTATTGAATATCATTATAAAGTTGAACATTAAACTGAAATAATTGCAGATATAATGAACATCTTAACAAAGTATGTGTTAAGCACTTGTAGTGCCTCATACATATTTCTACGTATTACAACTAATTTATAATAGTACATATGTGCTCTTCTTTCAAAGAACGCTGAATTCTCGGTACAAAAAGAGAAAAATAATAGTTCGATGTACATCGATGTGTAGAAAACTAAATTAAAAGAAATGAAACCTGTGAGGTTCAAGACATTTACAAGGGATTCATTTGAATTTTCTTGATAACATGTTCAAGCCGGATCCTTTCTGCGGGTGGCATAAAGACAATATCTGTAACATCTTTGACTTTCGCTAGTTTAAACCATTCAGACGATTTTCTCCAATACCGAACTGGAGGCCCTGCGAATTTCAAACGGATATTTTTATTTTGCAGGTTCTTTACATAAATTGTCAAAAATGAATCCAAATTTTATTAAATTTTTTTGGTTAGAACAAAGTACGCTTACAAAATAGCGCAGGTCCAAATTGCCTTAAACTCTAAATTTTCGAAAATTGCAAATGTTAGATTTTTTGGCATCTTCCTACAACTTAAGTAGTGAAAGTAGATATAAAAAAATAAAATAAAATCAATTCTCTAGAAAGATTTCTACATAAATCCATGAACTTTTTTTTTTTTTTTTTTTCAAAATATGAGCAGCGTTCACGTAACTTTGCGTGCAATAAAGGCAAATTTAAAATCAAGAGTTTCTCATCAAAGGCTCCAATATTTTTGTTTAAATTTTTTTCACGCTTGTAGCAAAGAACGATAAAGAAAGTGGAGCCGGTCCCGCTTCCTCGCTTAGTTAGAGGCGCTTGCAGTCCGCAAAATGGCAACACGTCGGTTTCAAATAATATTCGAATGCTTCTAATTGTTGACGGTCGTGATGATAGTATCATATAGATAAAATTCTTAAGAAAGGAAGTAGATTTAAGGAAGGTAATATATTGAACGCAAAACTAACAAAAGCTAAAAGCTAAGCGAAAAGTACGTGCTGTAGAAGCACTACTAGTTTATTTCTAAAGTAGAGCGACTTTCAGAGGACAGTAGGAAAATAATTATAATTGCATTACGTTATTCAAAATAGAACCAAATATCCTCGGTGCACCAGAAGACTGACACATCTCAAATATTGTCATTTGATAGAACGGAATTATCTGGAGTGAAACCATTCATTACACACCCAAAACAAAGTGCTTCACTTTATGCACCAGGTATCTTCGGAACAATTTTGTAAAAGTTTTTTGTTAGTAAACCCAATAGAAAAAAATAATAACTACGTATTTCTTCGAAATAAGTTTTGAAGTGTCACTTTTCTTGTGCGCTCACGGTATGTTATTAACTCACCTGAGTTTCCGTCAGCCGCAGGGCCCTGGATAGCTGAAGGCGTTTTGCCACGGACAGGTACTTGTTTCTCTCGAACTCGGCCTCAAGAGCCTAAACACAGACAGCTTTACTTAATGAGGCATGCTGCGTCCAATTTCACAGAGAATGTTTCATACGGTCCACCTGAACGAAATAATGAAGTGTACTTCTGACAAGGTGCATTCAAAGATGTGCAACAACCCTTCACGATACAACCGTTTCCTTTTAGCAATCTCCATCTCGAAGCTGCAACCTCGATCCTGGTTGAGCCTATATTAATATTAGTCTCCTTGTTACAGTAGCATGGATCAGATGGTCTAAAGACAAGAAGAAAGTATCCGGAAACTTGCTTTTTCTGCATGTTGTATATACAATATGCTAACTTTGCCATTTTTCTGTTTGAGAGGGAGGGCCCTTCACCAAATTATTTTCATGAGATGCGAAAGTTGTTAATCTTCGCGTAGTGAGGATGTGTGCTGGAGTTTGGAAGTGACTATAGTCCTATATAACACAAGACCGTCACTTTTTCTTCATAGGTCTTAACTTTTATTTTACCAAGGAATTCATACAAACTTTCCAACAAACACTATTCAAATTTGCCTCAAAGTCATAATCTCTCATTAGCCCCTTCATATGTGATCCTTTAAATATACCCCCCTTTATTTTCGTCTCAATGATCCTCGGGAATTTATCCTTTAAGTACCTGGCCCACTTTTATCCATCACCTTCACTAATTTTTCATCAATGCGAGTTTGGTGTGCAAGGGAGGAAGATATGCCTGTGCAGCATTACAAAGCGTTTCAAAGTTACAATTTTGTCCAGGAATCATAAGTTATTGGTGCCTGTGCTTCTTCACAAAATGATTTTTGCATAGAAAACAGCAAGACTTAGAATATCCTTGTTGGAGACCCAACAAAAGTGCGATAACTTTCGAACTGCCCTATACATTCCATGAATACTACTGGTATTTTATATTCGATAATAGTTTCATGATGCCATGTATCTCTCTCATATGGTCTGCACAGCCAAGAGGAATAGCTTGTTTCTTATTTCCGATATGAATAAGTCCGGGTTTTAAAGTGAGTTTAGAGGAATCTTCAAACAATCTTCATTTCTTAGCATCATGATAGTCTCTCAAAGCACTCACTAATGAATCAACATCAGAACATTACATTAGATTGCTTTCTTCTGAGAATAGGCATCGGAGATTTTGATCGCGTCGGCAATATACAGTAATGACGGAGGCTCCATTCCATTAATCGAGACGCCAACAATTATACCTAATTCTTCGACAAGCTCAAATCACGAACTAGATCTTTTTGTTCCGACTGATTGTTTCTATGACATTCTGTGGATATTCCACCGAAATCTGGGTCTTCAATGTCATTCTTTCGGTACTTACGTTTAAATCCACAGCAAGATGGCCGAAACGTCAGCACAATTGACCGAGACGCGGCTCATCCCGGATAGCCAAGAATGTATTGACTCCGGCCGTTGAAGCCTACGAATTTCAAGTAATACCGCTTCAAAAATAAATTTAAATGATCGAAAGTATAAAGTACATTTAAAATGTGCATTTTTTGGCCTTCTACTATTTTTACCTGCGAATATAACAACCAGTCTTCAAATATCTACAATTTTTACCTACTTTCCGATGAGTTAATGACTGTAGCACAAGAAGTGTTTACTTTTACAACTGTGTAAAACATTAAAATTTTTCATTTTTATCACTAGTTAATATAGCAATAATGCTTAAATGTAGACATGGTAACAATATACGAATAGATTCTCCTTCCGTTTGTTGTCACTGTAAATTAAAAATATATCGTAACAGTAAATATACCGTATCGTCACTGTAAATATACGTATTTTTTATTGGATATTGAATACATTTACGGTAAATAAGGTTTTTGTTTTTGTGAAGCTTCGGGGCGCCTTGTAAAAGTTTCAGGGCGGCCGCGGCCCCCTTGCTTCCCACCCTGTACGCACCGCCAGTGACTTAGTAGTAGTTGACTACTTCCCCGTGGAGTGAGGAAAGTCCACCAGCACATGCGCAAACCAGGCACCAAACATTGTGGAGGGATCTGCATTGTGCGATTTAATATCGTGACTTGTGACAGATCATCAGCCGGACGCGGTAATCCAATCGGGAGCTTCGATATCTAAAACGAATGTCGTAACGACGCTCCCGATTGGATAACCGCGTCCAGCTGCCCATCTGTCACAAGTCAGTGCGCGAGGGTACCTGCCTTGATCTGGGCGGCGGTGAACGCTGTGCGCGGCCTCTTCTTCCGCTCGTCGCTGCTGCTGCCCGCTGCCGACCCGCTGGCCCTCTCGTCCGCCCCGCCCCCGCAGCTGCCCGCGCCGCCGCCGCCCCCGCCGCCCTCGCTGCTCGCCGCAGCTTCTAGAGGTTCCAGCTCTGCACCTACGGCTGGCGACAAAGACATTTTTTCGTAGTGATTGTGAGACACGTTTTTGAACGATTGCGTAAAGATTATGATATAACAAAAAATAACACTTAGCACAATGATAAATTGAATGAAAACTTCTATAAATATTTACATATTTACGATAATCTCACAAGAATTTTTTTGTCACAATACAGATATAATTCATGATTTTTGCTCGACATTGTGATATACAGATTGGAATCTTCTTTAAGATTAAAATAGTAATGGTCAAATTTAACAAAGATATGTCCATTCCATGCTCAAGTATACCGTTAATATTAAAACACATTTAAATATAGCTAAAAATAATTACAAAACATTTAATTACATTCGGTATTTTTCCTTAAATAATGATTCACATTTTTAACGTCGGTCTTGTGGTTATGATACATCAGAAAACATCCAAATTAAGGAATAAAGAATTGAATTAGTACTTTATATACGTTTTACAATATTTGCAAATTTCCATTCCTGTGAGATTATTTTTTATTTGTAAATATGGAGTTAAACTTACAAGATATTAAAGTGCGTTGAATTAAATACATTAATTCGAGTATAATAAATATTTGATGCATTCCGAAACTCATTTGGCCCTTATATCATTCGTAGAATAGTCTTATTAAATATCACTCATGCACTAGTTGTTTCGTAATAAATTCCCTCGCCTCCGAATGCTTTGGTCATTTCCAATGCACTTGTGACAATTACATAAGAATGCATATAATTAACGCCTTACTGAACGTAAGCGAGCGAGTTGATTAATGCCTTCATGTCCTCCCCTTTCCAGGGCAGATGATCACAATACTGGTCGCTCACTGCAAAGAGAATCGAAAGTGATTATGAAGGAATTACTCTCATCAAATTTGTAAATATTTATTTTAGCAACCAAGGCTATTAGAAATTCATAAGATAATTTGAAAAGGAAAATAAGTCCTTGTTCCATATATCTGTGAAAAAAAAATAATTACATTCACAGTTGGCATGTAGGACATTTATGTTCTATACACAGGTTGTAGTACTAGTCGTCATTGATTGCTTGGGTATTCGGTAATTTCAAATTTGCATTTCTGTCACGTACAGAACCGTTTTTATATCTTAGAATTATTTCCTTTATAATATAAGTATGAACTATATAAAAAACTATTTATTTTTAAACTTATCAAACAATGTAATCATAGAATAAATACATAATGATGTGAATATTGGGATAAATGGACATGAAAAATACTCTAACTAAATGAGTAATATCGGCATTTACTCAACATCGCTTTCCACTTGAGTCTGTGGCTATGTCAAAACTTTCTGGTAGAAATGGAGATATTCATGTGGGACATATTTACGTTTCTTTGAACATCAGTTATCTTCTTTCCGTTGATTGGAAAAACAGCTGAGACATAAACTTTCTTGAAAGGCAAAACTGGGCGTGCCTTCTCTTTTGCCAACATGAATGAGTACGTGATTATCTCATCAATATACGTACTCACGTGCCACGAAGTATTCAAAATATTCTCTATCGCACGTTATCTGCTTTATTTGAAAGAAAAAAGTCACACCAGGCTAACAATGATGACTGCCGGCAAGAGCAAGAGACTCGGTTGTCTTCTTAAAATAGTTCGACTAATAGATTTTGAAATCTATGATCTACTCACTGTCTATTACTGTTGTATGGAGTATATAGGCGTTTCCTAGTTGATAATACTAGTTTGTGTGAGGATCAGAGACTAGTCCTGGACTTCTTTCTCTTTTCCAATCATTAGAATTTTTAGTTTTCAATAAAACACATTTTTTAAGCTGGACAAGTTTCATTTTTACACTAATCTATAGCTTGAAAAATAACATAGAAAATGTATATCTGAACTCTTTTACGAAAAAAGTAGACATATTTCCCTTTTAAAACCACCGATTCATCTCGAAGGAATTGCTGCAACGTGCTAGGTTTTAACCTAGGTAGCCCATTAACGAAACACGTTACTTATAGAACCCATAAAGGAAACTTTGAGTCTGTCTTACATATGTTGCTTAGACGGTATTTCATTTACAATCCGTGTAAATAATCAATTGTTTAGGAGGAATAGTGAAAAATCAGAGAGGTGCAAAAACTAAGTAATTTGGGTTCTGAAATAACTTTAAGGTATTTGTATATACATTTTTTACTACTGAGTTATAAAAAAAGTCAATTGTTGCAGAAAACGCATTAAATTCTTCAAGAGGCATTTATGATTCATAAACTCTCAACAATCCATTGTTATCTTTACGATTGCTATTTCCTACAGTCTTGCTACCTTATTAGACACCTATTCCATCTCATTTGCGTCTTTTTTCAGCTGCTTAGCATCTGTGAAGACTGTCATTCGGAACTCCACAGCGCTTCCTGTACGGGGCGGTGCAATGCCCAAAAACTAACTCTCACTCTCTCTTTGTCCCTCTCTTTCTCTCTCTCTTTTTCTCTCGTCAGCTGCACGAAACAAGGGGCTCGACTTTGTCTCAAATGTACAAAATTTATTTTGTGTCGGCTATAAAACACTTGCCTGACTGCCCCATCTGACTTGCTTGAAGTTAATGCAAATTATAAAACAAAACATTTTCTCAACAACCGCTCCAATTTTTTTTTCACGGATAGAACAAGCGTCGCTTAAAGTAATGACACAGATATACTTTTGGTTGAACTCTCAAAATTGCAACAAAAAAGCGAGAAAGTGTGTGCTATTGTAACACCTCCATTTGTTTTTCAGCGACATAGCCCAGAAGTCGATCGCATGTATTTCCGGCGCATTCGGGACCCCGTGCCCCTCACGTTCTTTGCGGAGTGCTGCGTTTCCCCGCTTCCTCACCGCGTCGCGGCCACTTAACTCCAAGCGAGTATAAATAAACGTGTCTGCGGTTGTCGGCTCGCGCGCCCCGCTGCGCGCTAGCGAAGACAAATGACACCGCCACCGCCGCCATCGCCAGTGTCGGCCTCTCTCGCCTTTGCCTTTCCGATCCTACTCGTGCGCGTCTGAAATTTTCTGGCCTACCTTCCTAATTCCTCTCTCCTAGCCGTTTGATATCGAGAAAACCTGTGTGGCCTCCTGCAGATGAGTCTCCAATTTCAAAGACAAATGGCGTCAAAAGTATAGGAATGACCCGTTAAACTAATAAGTAACCTCACAACCCACATCCGCTTTGAGGGGATTTTGATTCTAAAGACGTGCAATATGATCCGGGCGAGATAAACATACAAAAAAAAAGTGAATTTAAAAGCTTGGTATTCACTAACATTCGATGCTGTCTAATCTGTTAACGGGCTTCGCAAATTTGAACGATTACGTTCTAAACTAAAAATCCTCAATATTGAAATTTTTTTACGAAAGGAATGACTCTTTTTACTATTGCGTTTTCAAATATTATTTTTTATTGCTAGAAGTTTGATTCTGGTTCACTCAGTACCGGGAATTGTCAGAGACACTTCATACCCAGATTCCATTTGAAAACATTTCTCGACCTACAACATACACACCTATAACATACACACATCTTTTAATTCTTCGTCATCATCTTTTAACGTCGGTATATTTCCGTTAGGAATTCCCCGCCCTCAGTATATCACTGCCCAAGTGCATCTTTTAATTTATTTTTTGTTTCAACTAATTTATCATACAGTATTACGTTTGTCTTTTTCAAAAATATTTTCAAGAAGATCACTTTTCCAAATGATTTCGTGTAACTGTGCATAACTCACGGTCTGTCGATTTATTTTCGTATATCGTTGATATCAAACACATTATTATATAATGCAAAGCCAAAAGTCTTTGTTACATGTAATATACAACATTACATATAATATGGTGGGCAAAATAATTGGAGATCTTCAAGAAAAAGTGTGCGGGATCTCCATCACCTTTATACACAAAAAGAAATCGTCAGCAGCGAGACGCAACTCGCTCACTCGAATTAACAAACAACAAGAAGAAAACAAAGTTTTCTAACATAATACTTCTGTGCACTTACAATATATCAAAAACATTCTGATCTAATCATATATCACAATACTAACGAGCTTGATATCAGAAAAAAATATAACATTCATGCTCCCTATAAAATGACCTTTTGTAAATTATAGAAGCTTTTTCAAGAACAAACATGATATTTCACATAATTATCACAAAAATATCGTCAATGTATCAACATCAAAAACAGCCTTTTTTAATTTTTTTCAAAAACCGACCGAGTGTAGTAAAAACACATATTTTATTGCTTACAATATTACTCGTAAACATTCTTGGTGATACAATACTATACAATTTTTGATGAGTTGTCAAATTTGATTTTGTAACACAAGCAGTTTCATACCATCTCAAGTTAAATCTTTTCTCATGTGTTATTAAAAATTCTAAACTTCTGATGAAAAACGTTTTTCGAACTTTAAAAGTACATTAACATATTGGAGTAGTACATTAACCTTATTGGAGTCTAGAACCAATAAGTGCGTGAAAAACACTAATTAATACTTCCCTAGGACTCAGTTGATGGGGTAAATAAAAATTTCTGAGACTGTTGTAGAGCTTGTTAAAGTATTTTTACATATTCCCTCCATGATAGTTGACTATTAATAACTAATTTTAAGTACTTAATATTAAAAACTTGATCTAATTCGAGGCAAT